TTTTTAATTTGTTTGAACAGTTTTTTATAAAGATAAAATGCAAAATTTGTAAGAAAAATAACATTTTTAACGGTTTTCTCTGTTGTTTATATTGTATAAAACGTCTGTAAAAATTAAAAATGAAAATAAAAAAAATATTATGAAAACAAAAATGACCTTGGTCTTACTTCAAGTTCATATAAGTCAACTATGTCAAAAACTTAAAACTATTTCTTCTGGAAAGCCTAACATCTTGATATAAGGCTAGTAGCTTCCTAAGATTAAGCCAAACAAACTGTGAGTGAAAATAACCTTGACATGCATTGAAGGTCGTATGGGTCAAATATGTTAAAAACTTCAAACAACATTTTCTGAGGAATACAGTGGCTTAGTAAGTATCTCATTGGTCTAACATGTCGAAAGCTTCAAACATCTTCTGAAGAACTGAAATGCCTAGAGTCCTGACATTGGCTTAAATGTTCCTGGCATTGAGCCTGACAAGTTTGCAAAATTAAAAGACTTTGACCTACTCCCTAGGAAATAACATCGAAACATTTCACATCCTTTCCCTATAACCATATACCATTGCCAGACTTGGGGAGACAGTTCATTCATGCTACGAGATCAGGGATCAAGCTCCGTCCCCGGGGGCTTACGTTTTGGGTCATAACATAAAGCCAGTTCAGATCACCACCATAAAGCCAAATGTACAATAAGTGGCATTGAAAAGATGACCACTTGCATGCAACTAGGATTAGACACGAGGTCCCACCTCACCCTTTGGTATTGAAAAGAGTTGAAATCCTTACCCTTTAACCATATATTAAATTGGTGGGCATGGAAACACAAATAAAGATATGTCCTTAGTGTCATGACAGCCTCTAGGTATGTTGTCCAAGCTATCAAGGCCCCAGTTGCCTCTTGTTTGTGACGCAAAGCTAGTGTTGTGTTAACATTCATATATAGTCATTAAAATGTCAGTGGTAGAAATGAAGAAAATGAATAGCCATGTGCTAGTGAACAGGTCAAATAAAAAAAAATAAAAGTGACATTTCCATAAGATGCATTTACTTTTTGTCGATTGATGAATGATCAATCAATCAATCAGACAAGAGGACAGAAGAGAAAGTATTGTACTCACAACGAACCATTGAATATTAAGATGGTACTTGGGATGACTGGTATTTGTTGGGTCTTGATCCGTGTTCGTTTTGTATACCACAGTTTCTCTGGAGCCTCCTTGGATACCTCATTGCTGTTGTTTTCACCAAACTTGCTCTGACAGATGCGGTGGCACATACTCCACTATACATAATTAATGCCCTTTAATATCTTTCGCTCACCTATTCAAAGGGCAAATGAGCTTACGCCATGGTACATCCGACATCTTGTCAACGTTATTTCTAAACAACTTCTTGTAAAGAACGGAGCGGCCTAGAGTCAAGATATTTGGTCGGTTTCATGGAATAAGCCCAATAAAGTTTGCGAATGAAAATTACTTTGACACAGCGTAAACATTAGTGTAAAGTGCGCGCTTTTAATCATCAAGAAAGGTGTATAGATTTTATGTACTGCAAAGAGTCAAGGTCGGGTGATACATTTCACCGAGAGGAACTCGAATGACACATAAATGCGGATAGATTCGGCAATGATGCAAGTTAGAGTTTCAAAAATAAATATTCAGGTACTCAAATAGTCAAATGCGAATTAGTACTTTCCTTTAAAACAAAAAAAGCTTTAATCACAAGTGTTAGGTGTTTTCATGTCTCCCAAGTTTAACTGTCGGCGGTCCTCGTCGGTATCTGTTTGTATGACTGCCTTTAACCGAACACAGATCTACATGCGCTCAGATAAGAACATGGAACCGTGTATTTTATTAAAAACTGGAAGATTTATCTGTACATAAGATTGCATCTTTTTCTAAAATGTATTGGTGTCAAAACAAAATCGTTATATTACCAATTACCTGCTCTGCTTATGCCAGGTTTCACCATATATCCTCGTTCTCGAAGTGTCAACACCTAAACCTTATTAACGATTACGTACAGTCTGCTTTGTGTGATTTGTTTTCCTGAAATAATTATTTACATGAGTGAATGTGATTATTTAGTTAACCATCATTAGTGACTTAGCGGTTGGTGCTTTCAATCCAGCTTGATATATTTTCCACCCAAAAACACCTGCGCATTTTACACGTGTGCGCACAATACGCGAATATTAGATTGGTATCTTCGAAGGATAAAGCCAAACACAGTTTGTGAGAAAATTGACCTTCACTCATCTTCAAGGCCAGATAGGTAAATAGTGTCAAAATACCTTCAATCGGCTTCTTCTGAAGAATGAAAAGACCTGGAATTATTATGTTAGCATGGTAGCTTCCTGGAGTAGAGCTCAACAAAAAAGTCGAATGAAAATAACGTTGATCTATATGAAAGTTCACAGGTTTTTTTGCTGAAAAAATCATACAAATTCTTCAAAAGAATCGAAAGACCTGGCGTGATAATATAAGCTAGGCCGGTAGATCTTTGGATAAAACAAAACCAAACAGTAGTCAAGGTCAGTTGGGGTCCAAAATAACTTTTTCTGAAGAATAGAAATGTTTAAAATCATAATATCATGGAAGCGTCCTTGGATAGTGCTCAGCAAAGTTTGCAAATAGGAATAGACTTGATTTTATTCAAGAAAACGGGGGGGGGGGGGGGGGGGATGGAAATGTGTAGAATCATGATATAAGCCTGGTAGTTTCATGGGATTGAACGCAACGAAGTTTGCAAATAAGTATAACCTTCTGGAAAGGCATGACTAATTCTTGTTGGTTGGAAGCTTTCTGTGATTGAGTGCAACAAAGATTGGAATTAAAAATGACCTTGATCTGTATTAAAAGTCAAAGGGGTCAAATATGTAAAACTCTTCAAGCCAATTCTACTGAAGAACGGAAAGGCATTTGCTATTATCATTGTAGACTCCTTGGATGGAGCCAAACACAATTTGTGAATAAAAATAACCTTGATCTGTATTCAATGTCACAGGGGTCAAATGTGTAATTTGCTTTGAAATTTGTTCAAAGAAATGTCCCTATGTGCAAGGTCATCGGGGTCAATTTTGTCAATTTCTGAAGTACTTAGAGCCATAGTGACGGGTTGGCAACTTCCTTTTTAGCCAACCATCATCAGATGCTATTCATATCACCCTTCATGCGTAGTCCGTCATCCGTACGTCATTCCATCATTTGGTATTTCAACCAAAAGTACATGGGGAACTTTCTCATTTCACATTAAGTTCCCTATGGCCCCTAGTTGAGCATATCACATTTTATGACTGACAGAAAAACCACGATAGCTGACAGGTGACCATTAGGGAAAATGAAATGCAAAAAATGGTAAAAGATCACCTTTTGTAGATCGGATAAAGATCCTTTGAAGGTGGGCGCCAATATCCTTCTAGAATATCTTGTTAAGGTTACAAGTGTCTGATTAATAGCAGGTGAGCGATGCACGCCCATTGGGCCTCTTCTGATACCAAAGTTTGTTTGGAGTTAACTTCCTTCTTATAAGTTCCACTCACTTTTTCCGTCGCCGTGGGTCGTCCGTCGTCTGTAATCTTTTTTTTTTACATTTTTGACTTCTGCTACCAGGAACCAATGAATGGGTCAAACTTTGTCAGAATAGTCCTAGGAGGAAGAGGGTTTCAAATTGTAAAATTGGGATTCCTGCCCCAACCTTAAGGGGCCGGGGCGGGGCCACAAGGGGAAAATTAACAAATATTTAAACAATCTTCTTCTCCAGAATCAAATGTACTAGTCAATTTACCTGTTAGGATGAAAACATCATCAGGAGCTATATTTAAATTGACATTTCAGTACCACCGATCCATCCGTTCTCCCTTGGGGAGGGGTAAAGTTTAATATAAAGTGTAGTTTATATTGGGAAATGACACTTTTGGGTATATTTTGTCAACTGTAAGTAGAAGATTATTCAAACTTTGTAAGAGTCATCTTTGGAGGAAGAGGGTATCAAATTGTAAAATTGGGATTTCTGACCCAACCCAAGGAGCCAGGGCGGGGCCAAAAGGGGGAAAATACCGAATAATTCAAAAATCTTCTACTCCAGACTCAGATTTACTACAGTCAATTTCTCTGCATGGATTGAACGAGCATCAGGGGCTTTATGTAAATTGTAAATTTCTATAGCCCGGGGCCATTCGTTCCCCCTTCGGGAGGATGTAAAGTTTACTATAGTTTACATAGTGAAATAACACTGTTGGGTATATTATTTCTATTTTCAGTAGGAAACTATTGGGAATTGGAATTGGGAAACTAACCTCATGGGAATAATTGTGATAAAAGGGCAATTAAAAAAAAGGGGAAAATAAGAACCGTCCTTTCCCAAAGGACTGGAACATAGTTTAAAACTCTTCGTCTTCGGACTTATCTGTACTACAAATCAATACCCTTATTGGATTGAAAAGTGTGTAGGTGCTTTAACTTAATTGTAAACTTCATTACCCTGGATCATCTGCTCTTCCTGTGGAAGGTGATAAAATTGTCTATAGTTTATCTAAGGAAATGACACTTTTGGGTAATTTTTGTCTCTTCTTAGCAAGAAATTATTTAAATTTCGTTTGAATAGTTATGATTAAATTGAAATTAGATAATATCAGAAAGTAAGGTCCTGACCTATCCCAAGGATTAGCCAAAGAGGAAAAATTTCCTTTTGTGAAACTACAAGTAATGTATTTAACTTTGTTTACATGATGATTTTCAACTTCAGATATCATCAATAAAATTAAGCAACCTTTCATAAAACTCAGGTGACCGTTGAGGCCCTTGGACCTCTTGTTCCACTTACACACACCAAATATACATAATTATGCAAGTAAATAAGGTGGAATGTCACATTTTTGTAGTTATGAAATTTAGTCATATGTAAGTGATACATGAACAAATGTACAAGTAAGGTTTCTTAAACACTAAATTAAATTAATATTGAGGTAATAACAAGCATATCCTATTGTACTTTTAGCTCAGTTTCTCAAATGATGGATGCTGGGGAAGCATGCTAGCAGATCTTTTACAAAGGTTGGTAAAATGATTTTAAAAAATCGTATTTAAACTACTGTGACATTTAGTATCTTTCCCCAAATAAGAGATCAGTAACGCAATGTAACGTAATAATGCAAAAAAGCAATGAGATGACATACAAACTAGGCAAGTTTGACATAGTTTATGTATTTTACTGATTTTTGCTCACCTGGCACGAAGTGAACGACTTCTCATGATCTGGAGAACCAAGTGCCATACTATTTTGCCAGCAGGTACCTAGGACAGAGTGCGATAACATTTCCTTCAATAATTAATCTAGACCTACTTTCAGGGTCACAGGGTCAAATATATAAAAACACTTAAACAACTTCTTCTGAATAACCAGGAATTGTACATAGTCAGTACTTACCTGGCATGAATTGCTATAAACTTTCCTCAAATAAATGGCCTTGACGTTCCTTCGAGACTTCAAGAGTTAAATGTTATAAAACAACTTCTTCTGAATAACAAAGAGGTCAGAGCAATGATATTTAGCCAGTAGGAAAATGGTAAAGAGAGCTATTAAGAGTCTCCAAATAAATGACCTTGATATACTTTCAGGGTCACAAGGGTAACATATTGAAAAACAACTTCTTCTGGATAACCAAGAGGCCTAAGCTGAGGATAGTTGCCATTAGTTACCTGGGATGTAGTGCTATGAGGGTTTTTCAACTGGATGACCTTGACATACTTTGAAGGTCACATGGGTCAAATAAGTAAAAACCTTTAAAAGACTTCTTCTGGTTAACGAAGAGGCCCAATGTGATACAATTGAGCACGTAGGTACCTTGACTGTAGTGCTATGAAGTTTCATCAAATGGATGACCTTGACCTACGTTGAAGGTCACATGAATCAAATGGGTCAAAACCTTAGAACGATTTCTTCTGAACAACTAAGAAACATATGATGATGGTATTTGGTCAGTAGCATGCTGTGATATGGTGCTTTTAACTTTCCTGAAGTAAATTACCTTGATCTAGTTCCTAGGTCACAGGCATCATATATGTAAAAAAAACAAACTACTCCTTATGCATAACCAGAAGGCACTTTAAGATGATATTCGACTAGTAGCATACTGGGATAGAGTAATATATTTTTTTCTCCAGTAAATGACCGTGATGTACTTTTAACGTCATAGGGATGAAATGTGTAAACATGTTAAACAACTTCGTATAATCAAAGAAATGACCTTGACCTATTGGACAAAATTTGGTATGAAATATCCTTGTAGTAAGAGGACTCAGCGTTGATCTCCCGAGTCCAGCAGGACAGGGTTCAATAGGGTTGCCAAAGAAGAGTCTTTAAATTCCTTCTTCAGTAAGAACCAAGTGATCTCGGTCATTTAGTCTGGAACATTATTTTACAAAGGAGACTCAATATGTGGAAATATTTGCAAAATTACTTTAATGAGAACAGTTTCCCATGGTTGCTTAAATATCCAAGTGAACAGAAAAGGGCCTCTTAGCCTCTTGTTTATTGTTTCATTTCTGTAAGAGAAATCACAAGACTGTAAAATTTAAAGCGTTGTTTTGATTTGCAGGAAGTGTGACGTCATCAATAGAGGATATTCTGGTTACAATGCCAGGTGGTGTGTAAAAATGATATCAAAAGTATTTGAAGAATTTGCAAGTCGTGATGTAGCCATGGTTACCATTTTCCTTGGTGCCAATGATTCCAATTTACCTGCCAACAGTCATCAACATGTGCCAGCAGAGGAGTACAAGACACATCTTATTAACATGGTGGAGAAGCTACAGGTATATAGTTATACATAAAACACATCAGACCTTAAAACTATAACATTGAATATAACTGGTAACTTGTTACATGTCCATTCAGAAAGTTGTTAAAAATCAAACAAAATTGTCTGTTCTGGCTTATCAAAACCAAAACATGTTTTATTATTACAGACTTCATATTGTTCCTAAAGACGTATTATCTGTACCCATACATTTGCCAATGCCGTTACATTTGTTTTAGCGATCACTTTGTCGTTTCCAACAAAAAATACATATGATGCAAAAACATGGCAAAATTTACTGACTATTCAAATATCTCTTATCTATCAAAATTTCAACTTGCTATCATCATTAAAACAATTAAATACAATGATATGTTGGGCGTATTGAGAATTGAAGAAACGGTTATGTAAAGTTATGTCAATGGTTTTAAATTTTGACGGTTTGGGACTCCTTTAATTGTTTCATGGTACACAATCCGTAGTCAATCAAGTTTTCTTTAAAAGAAAAACGCTGCAAGTCCAGAAGCCTTAGTGGAATTTGACTAAATTCTGTCTGGAGCAGTGGTAAATCTTTCAAATATTTTTTGTTCTGTAGCAATTAGGTCAGGAGCATCCTTGAGCCAAGCGGACTTTATTTCTTATAAATGGGGGGTATTGCCCCCCTGTGGGCAGATGGGCAGGTGCAATAGGACAGAGGGCCACATATAAGAGAGAATAGAGGTAAAACATTTAAAATCTTTCTTATAAAGGAAAGATTTATCTTTTTACAAAGCTCTTGATTATGTTAAGTCTCGAGGACTCAATTTTGCTTAGATTGGTTAGAATAAAGTCCCGTGAAATTCATCCTGGAGCCAACTTCATGGGATTAATTTTGTTCTTCTGTAGAAATTAACGGGCTTTTCCAAAATTGGCGTGGCTCATCCTTATGGGCAAAGGGGACTCAAGTTTGTATAAACGGTAGTTGTAGCCCCTTGCGGTCAGAGGTGATGGGCAGAAGACACAATTTACAGGCAGACTTTAATTTCCTTTTTGGCCGGATTGCAACGCAATCAGGGCTTGAAGATTGGCGAATCCTGTCCGGACATATGTCCTTCTGTCTGCACTTAAGTTAAGATGCTTCGGATGCTGATTCTGACCTACAATTTCCGCTTCAATGACCAGGTTAAGAAGATTGGTTAAGATCAGTTACTAAGTAACTACTTGTTGTACATCAACTAAACTTCCATTGCTTATGTATCTAAGGATTATATGGATTGCATTTTAAATGTATTGTAAATAATTATTTAGTATTGCATATTTGCAATTTATTTATGAACAAAACACATTAACAATTTTTAGGTAATGCTATTCCGCTATATCCGTCATCTGCCATAATAAGAAAACAGTAATTCTAGAATCATTCAACCGTTTACATAAAAATGTACTTTAGCAATCCTGCCATATCGCCATTGCCAGTTTTTGTTTTGAAATAGTTTAACAAGGGGGACTCAGTTTTATGTAACATGGGGTGTTTGTCTCTTCGGTCAATAGAGGAAAAAAAGGTAAATCTTTAAAATTGTTTTTCTGTTATTGGAACGAATGGGTAAGGCCCTAAAGGAAAAACAGAGAGAAGTATTTAATATCCTTCTGTAGTAATTAACAGGTGTTATCCATATGTGCTCTAAAACATTATTGCGCCAAAGGAACTGAATTTTGTATGAATTGCGGGGGGCAGAGGGTTGGGTCAAAATAAGGGAATCAATTTTGTAATTTTTGACACATGCGATAGGTAACGCAGGATTGAGTATACTACGAGGTTTGCTTAACGTAGAATCGCATTTTCGACACTAGCACCACCCTTTCTTTTGAAATCTGACTTCTTATATGGAATCTGATTTCTCTTTATATGGAATCTCATTTAATATTATTATTCGTATGCAAATACCTTTTGCTGCGACAACTAGTTTTCTGATAACGTTTCATTCACCAAATAGTGACGCCATTTTGGGGTAAGCCAACGAATAGGTAGAGAAAGCATTCACTTCAATATTTGTTTAACTAGTCAGATATATGTGAAAAAAAAACCAATGCATGTAGATTGTATGCATAAAATTAGTACAAATATTCTGATATACTTTCGAACGACATTCGACCTTCCTGTGCTCTGTTGTAAACAAATATGTCGAGGCGCTCCTAAATAGATTGATGTATTTGTGTTGTTGAAATATTTTACAATGTATGATCAACAAACAACGGCGTGGCAAAATGCAATACACATACAGACAAAGACACGGAAAAGTCTTAAATCGTTAAAAAATGTTTAATCATTCCCCGGACATCAGTCGTTTTATGTGAAATGAAAGAAAGCAAACACGTTTCCCTTTTTATCGGGTATTCGGGAAGCAACAACTATTAGTGATCACATAAGATCTCTATAATTAGATCAGTGCATTGCAGTATATTGTACTTGTCAAATACACTTGAAATTGAACATATGGTCAGGTAATGATATTATAAAACAGAGGAAATACTGGGGGTAGAAGTTAATTGAATTGCCGGGCGCACAAAACCCTGAGCAATCCTCCATTCGATGTGCACTCATAAGAGTCAACCTGTTATTATGCAGACTGCATATTGAGTATCTCGACTTGTGAACCGAATAATCAAAGCTGATGCAATACAACAAGACCTTTGTAAAGATTGCGTGGCAAAGTTGGTACTCTGAATCATTGAATGACATGTTAACTTGTAAAATAAACAGTGTGTAATATAAATGAAATTAGAAAATGATACAACTTTCAGGCATAGGCGGATCCAAGGGCTTGTGTCACCAGCGCATGTGCACCCTTCCCCAATCGAATTAAAAATAATAATATATATTCTGCTTCTTTTATGTGACACCCCAAACTCCGTTTGGTGTACACACTGTAACATTGATGTGGAAATCAATATTATGTTTTTGGTTATTCCGATCGTAACACGCTTATCTGACATTGATATTATAATTTCTTTAATATCAATTCCAAACTGTTGTACCTGTAAGGTGAGTGGTCCGTAGTAACCACAGGGCACATGTATTACGATAATATTAATTCTAGGTTCTTAAATACCGTTTTATTATAACCTAGTTCGTTGGTCGTCTCAAAGCGGTTCACAAAATATTATCCGTGGTTATAGGGCCTTTGCAACCAGCCAATATCTTTCTGAACTCCCTGGGGAGTATACAGTCGGTGCTTCCATTTCGGCGCTCACAGCTTGCATTCAACAGTTCTAGCACTGCCCAACCACGTACTTATTTTCAGCTGAGTAAACCGGAACAAACAGAGTCAAGTAATATACAACAAGAGTACCGTGACCTAACTCGATCCTGCAACCCTTCGGTCATGAACCCGGCGTCCTACCACTAGACTACAGTGCTTCCTTACAGTTAAAGAAGGTTTTCATTAAATACTTTTGCAAGAAAGACAACGAATATCATATCTTAATGCTTTCAAATCAGGAACCATTGCAAGAAAAATATATCAGGAAATGCCAGTTAACACATTCAAATGCATGTCAATTAGAATTATATCCAATGGTTTGGAGCGTTCATAATTCATGCTACTTCCGCAAATTATAAATAAATTACACACAATTAACTGAAATTATAAATAGCACTTTAATATTCTTTGCGAATACTAGCTACTCTTGGAAGTTGATCCTATCCTGCCCACTCAAAGATTGCATAATAAACATTTAGACATTTTCAGTTTATATTTAAAATTCTAACACGATTCGTTTACAACGCGTGTTTTGACTGGATACGGACCATGTTCTAATCTCCGATAATCTCATAATCAATCGTGTGAGGCTCCACCCATCGCACTTAAACCACGCCCCGTGTCTAACCAAAACAATATGGCGTCAAGCTCGCCTCTTAGCGAAATCCAACACAAGACAAGCAGGCAACAGAACAGACAGAACCAATGGATTGTACTAAAAATAAAAAGTAAATATTCCTTGTTTTTACCTCCATTGATTAATGAAACATTCGTTTTACCAATGTGAAGGCATTTAGTTAGATCCGAAATCAGATGAAACATTTCACATATGTGGTATGAATTTTGCACAAAACTCTTCACATATCTAAACAAATAATTACCGATTTTGTCGATACGCACAGATTGGCATGCATACTGACTTGGATATGTAAGAATTTGGTCAATGTTAATCCAAATGTGTCGCATAAACTTTGGTCACAAGATGTTCACGAACAATCCAAATATTCCGCCTAGTCAACATAAAGATCGAGCGCTCGACAGTATGGGCAGGGCCAAATGACCAACTTTTGAAAGCTTCTTTCTGATTGGTCAGTCCAGTGCAGAAAGACACGTCACCAGCACAGGTCAAAGGGTACTTAACTACGTACTTGTAGCAAGGTAAAGACAATGTATCTACACATATAAGCGTAGTATATTTGTCAAAGTGTTGTGTCTATACTGGCGATTAGAACATGAAATTCGGTTTAAACTCTCGACCTATCCACTAGAGTTCAAACCAAATCTATGTTCTAATCGCCAGTATAGTCACTCAAAACAACGTACTATCCCCTAAATTGAAGTGTTAATCCGATTATTATTTTCTTGCATGATGGATTAACAAGTGTTATTCGATTCGAATTTAGTGTTTAAACTAAAATATATTTTTGTAACATTTCGTACGTCACTTGATCAGACGACATCATGATTATGGTGTCTTGAGTTGGACATGGTTGAGGGACATCCTGTCCTCGGAAATGTTAAGGTTGAAAATTGCAACTTGTTTGCAGCAATATATTTTAAAGAGGACAGTGATAAAGGGTGCAGACTTTCTGATATAGATTGTCTGTGAGGTGTATTTGCCGAGGAGAGCAGGGTTCAAGGTTCTCCCAACCCCTTGTCTTAAACTATTTTCATAATTGTCCGTGTGGCAATACACGTTCATGTAATACACCACTTTGTAGTCCTAGCTTCGTAATAATAAAGCATGGGACTATCCCTGAAAATGTACCTGGTAACG